GAGAGCTGAGGGGGCACAGGTGGGGAAGGGTCCGATCCAGGCAAGAACACAGAAATAATGTGAAGAAACCGGAGCCAGGTGTGGGCCCTGGTGGTCTGGCTATTTAAAGAGACCGAAGGCTGTGGGAGGGGACCCGTGGGGACAGCGTCCACCTACTTCTGCAATAAGGGAGGCGTCGGCTCAAACGGAAGATGCAGAAAACTGCCAGAGCGAGCGAGCGAGCACCCAACGAGGGTGGGCTTTGAAAGGCAACAGGAAAAGCAAATTGAGTTTGTAGGCAAAGCGAATGTGCACAGTTCTATGTGGCAGATGACAGGCATTTTCTGAACCCCTCCCCTCCCGTCAGCAGCTGCAGCCTGAACGCCTTATCGAGAACATAAAACCGACGTTTCTCAGCCTGGGATATGAGCAAATCCTCCAACCGGGAGGCACACAGTGACAAAGCAATTCCGCCTACGGGAAGATGCGCATCTAGGAGCCGCCAAGCTGGCACTGCAGCAGGCCGGCCCTCGGCCCTCGGCCCTCGGCCCCCGGCCCCCAGGACCACTCCCCTGCCTCCTCCCTGCCACCCCGTGGGGTCAGACAGTTTACACTTTCAGACGAGGCCATGATTCCAGTAGAAAGAAGGGTATAACCCATTTCATAGAGGACAGGACTCAGTTCTGGATGAAAACCTTTATAAGAGCTCAGTCAGGCTGCAGGATCCTGATTTCTTGGCCACAATATTCTGGGTAGAATGACAGGCATTTAAATAATGGTACATAACGACACAGCCTGCGAACAGGCAGTGAGTCCATGAAAAAACGCAGCGGACAGAGGTTTTAATTTCTCCATGAGGTTATAAGACAGCAACGGGCTTCGCAGTCCGACCTGGTTCGGAATGTACGCAGGGAGCACCCATGGCTCAGACACTCACACCCACCCGCACACACGGGCACACGCAACACGCTCACCAAGCAAGGAAACGTGAAATTAAGTTACCGCTCAGTAAACAATGGAACAGTAGAGGGGTGAGGAATCGAAACAGTCCCCTTAAATTTTGAGTTTTAAAAAGACTTAATTCCTCCAAATTAAAGACTTTCCTGGTCGGATACCAGGGAAGGACAGGAAGGGCTGGCCTTCCAAATGCACCTTTTTTTGTGCTTTGTTGAATCCACAGAGTAAAAAAGTACAACATGGGCCAAGAACTAGGGCTTGGTAAGAGCTAAAATATACATCAGTGAAATTCGTCTTCTTGGCAATTGGCTACTGACACATTTCCCCCCGGAAGTGAGTTCCTCACAAGGAGAGGCTCCGTATAAATCACCCTCCCAGACAGAACAAGTTTTTTTTTAAAATAATGTTTATTTACCCTCATCCAAGGGTATTTTTTTCCATGTGGAAGGAAGGGGAGGGGGAGAGAGAAACATTGATTTGAGACACATTAATTGGTTGCCTCTTGCCCCCGCCCCAATCGGGACAGGGAATCAAAACCTGCAACCCAGGTACATGCCCTTGACAGAAACTGAACCCGAGACTGAGGTCAATGAGCAGATGCTCTAACCACTGGGTGCAACAGCCAGGGCCAGAACACCAGTCTTGAGTGCATGTGTCCTCACATCTGACACCGCAGGGCCCAGACCAAAAGCCCGCGACTTGTCCTTGAGCTCGAGGGTTAGGTACACTTGTAGAAGAATGTATTTGGATTTTTCGCTGTGCTAGCCAGCGTCACATACATGTTTTACACAAGAGACCCCGCCATTCCCCGCATGCAAAGTTAGGGTCTACAAAACTTGGGGCATGTCTCAGCCGGTGGAGCATCGACCTAGGATCCAGGAGATTGTGGTTCAATTCCCAGCCAGGTTGCAGGCTCCATCCCAGTTGGGGGCGTGCACGAGGCAGCCGATCAATGACTCTCTCATCACTGATGTTTCGATCTCTCTCCCCCTCTCCCTTCCTCTCTCTGAAATGAATAAAGATACATTAAAAAAAAAAGAAAAAAGTGAGTTGGGGCAGGGAACAAATAGGGCAAAACAGGCATGGCTCCTGTCCCCTGACACCATCACCACACCCGAGTGACAGCGGGAATGAGCCAGGAACATGCTTCCCATCACTGACTGTCCCGTTTAACCTGCTGTGACCTGAGCACTTCTAGACTCTACATGTGGCCCACTGTTGGCCACGGGGAAGGTAAGATCCTCTCTCTTTTCCCCTCCCCAGATGAACTTGTGAGCAGGCAGAACGTGGAAACTCCGAAGCTCCTGGGGACCCTCGTGGGACCAGGTGGGGCTGAGCTGATCAGGTGAGCCGAGGAGGTAGCTCATGTGCCATCCTGGCCCGAAGGTGGTTTGCTCTGGGCTGAGGTGTGGATCTGGGTGGCCGTAGCTCGCCGGCCACAGCAGGCAGTGCTGTCTGCCAGTCTTGGCAGGTGTCCCTCCACCCCCTCACCCGAGCTGAAGCTGTTCTTGGAGCCCAGGAGTAGGAAAGGCAGGATGGAGGACGCCGCGTATAACCTTGAGCGTGAGTCATACTTGTCCTCCTTACTTCACCTCCCGCTGGCTCTGTACTCAGGAACCAGACCTGGGTAAAAATAATTGTTTCCATCCGTAAGACCAGTTTCTGCTTCAGTGTTTCTTGGGCACCTGCTGCAGGCCAGGTGCTGGGCTGGGAGTCCGCAGTCCACATGTGCGTTGTCACACGACCCTGGGAGGTAGGGTCATTCCTATTGTCCAGTCCAGGCAACCGAGGCCCCCGGAGACCTGCACCAGCCACACTGCCAGTAGCGGGCAGACTTGACCAGGGACTGAATTCAGGTTCAGTTCAAATCTTGGTTCCACTGCTGGGAAGGTACAGGAGGTTTGGTCCCGATCCACAGGGCTCCTCTGAGTAAGTTCCTGGGTTGGTTCCCTCCCCTCCCTCAAATCATCTTTTGTGAGATCTGGAAAATATGATGTAATAACAAAATAAAATCAGTGTAGTCTGGAGCTCAGCACATCGGCACACGGGCTCTGCCAGGTTCCGTCTGGGGTCCTGCACGTCCACCTGGCAGCTGCCACTCCTGCATGGTATCGGGCCTGCCGGGGCCTGAGCACAGGAAGAAGTGCTCGTGACAACAGAACAGGAAAGGAAAAGCCAGGTGGGTCATCCCCAGTGCTCAGTGAGCCAACCTTTTACAGCACCGTGGTTCTCCCTCCCTGGGACACCTGGGGTACCTCAGACTCAGGCCACAAAGCTTCCATGACTGGGCAGGACCTGTGCTCGGACCTCCTGGCCAGCCCTACCAGGCCCCAGCGGGGAGGGCAGGGCTACCTTTCTTTTCTAACTGCTCATCTGTAGTTGAGATAACTGAGGCTGGAAAAGGGAAGAGAATTCCCATGTCTTCTGACTACCAATCCTAAGGAAAGGCAAAAAAAAAAACCTTTGACGGTGAGAAACCAGCAGTTGACCTGACTCCCCATCAGCACAGGTGAGGGAGTCAGCAAGCAGGCACCAGGTCACCCAGCTCAGGGCTCCACATTGCCGTGGGCACCTTTCACACCGTCTTTCTATCAGCACTCACCCTAGACAAAGGTGCCACTCAAGTTCTAGGGGGCAGACAGCGAGAGAACATTCCAGGCCGACACAGGAAGACTGTCCTGCTCGGGAGGACCCTCCCCTCTCACCCTTGCTTGGGGCTCAGCCGATGCTCATCCTATTGGGTCTGTCGCTGTGGAGCACATTTCATCAGGGACCCAGGACCAACGTGCCAGCAACTTCAGAGAGAAGCTGAGCTTATTCCACTGTCACCTCCACTAACCAGCACTTCACGCTGCTGCCATGACCAGTGTCCAGAGGTCTCTGCTGCAGACAGAGCTCACCTGAAGCACCTCTTAGATCCAACTAGACCTTAAAGCCACCACTGGACATGCAGCCTGAGGTGCACGGACCAACCTGGAGTTGAAGCCAGGCAAATAAAGTCAGCGGTCAGTTCAACCGAGTCCCCTCTCCTTCCTTTTACAAGCCACTCAACTGCTACGACCCAGATACGAACGTGACCTGAAATAGACTCTGACCCTCCCTGGCCCAGAAACCCGATGAAGGGGAAAGAGGGCAACTCCAGTATTTCTGCCTTTTTACCTCTATAACGGTCACCACGTTTCCTGCCATTAACGCCACTCAAATTCTTGCGAACCTTGACCTGCGCGTGCCGAGGCTTGGAATGTAGTTACAGGTGTCTGAGGTTTGTATTCTGTCAAAATGAGGGGAAGCCGGCAAAGCCCGGAACTTTGACCACAACCTCATCACTATGCTCAACAACTGCATGACGGAGAGAGAAAAGGCACACCTCCCCGGGAGGCGGCGCTCACAGCAGCGGCCCTCGTGCTGCCGTGTCCACTCCTGACACAGCGAGGAGCCCCGGCAGACGGTGGGGCTCACGGTGACAGGACAGCTCGGGACCATGACACATTAATTCTCTGCTATACATGGATACAGAAGTAGCTACAAGCCTCCTAAACATAAAACACAACACAACACACACACAGATTCAATAGGAGGACTGAAGTGAAGGCCAGAGTAATCACAGAGACCACATCCTTGGCCCTGGCACTCCTCACACGCCTTCAAGGTCACTTGCTGTCAGAGGAAGGGTTTGAGTAACAGAAAGGACCTCTCTCTGTCAACACCACGTGGGATACAAGACCAGAAACAGGAGTCCGCCACGGAAGAAATCCCAGAATAGTCCAATTTGGAAAGAATTTAATTAACAAAATAAAGAGGAGGACCTGGCCCAGGGGGGGCTCTGGGAGGATCCCTGCCCACCCAGCCCAGGGGCCTTGGACCTGTCCGAGCAGAACCAGCCTCACAAGCAGACCCGCTCTGCCCTGCGCCCATGTGCAGGCTGTGAGCCACAGGGCGCAGCTGTCAGCAGTGGTTTCTAGTGCCCTATGCTGGCTTGGCACATTAACGCATGCAAAGCTAGGTTTCAAGGGCTTCACCAGTTAATTTTGGCAAAAAGAGAAAACAAAGAGCTAAAATTCATAGCAGATTAAAAGCCACTGAAGTGAAAACCATGTATTTCTCAACAGTAGGGAATGAGACTACAGCTACAATCTTTTTAAGTCTCTGCCATCCTCTCCCCCGACTCAGGTCAAAGTTCATAGCAGCATAACACAAAGTCCTCTGTCAGCCAGTGTTCTCTGCTTTGGGGTCAGAGTTCACAGGTCACGTTCAGTCCGTCCGGAGAATCATGGGAGGGTGCTCGCTGTCTTCCTCCAGCCGCAGGGCGCTGGCTTCCTCTTCCAGACACGCGCCGCCCACGGCACCCAGCTCATCCGTGTAGGCTGCAAAGAGACAGCGTGGTCACCAGGGGCGGGAGCTGGGAGCGGAGGTCACAGCAGCCCTGCCAGAGGCTGGGTCAGGGGCACACTAGGGCAGCCCACAGACTGCACTTGAATCCCTCTTGGGACTAACACGCTTTCTGCAGCCTTAGGCAGCTCAAGATGAAGTACTTTCCCAAATTCATAACTTTTAAAACGCTGTCTGTAGAGAGCACAGGGGCCGCCCGAAGGACAGGCTGCACGCTCTCCTAGTGACAGGGAGAACAGAAGTGTGTCTCAAGCCGGTAATGTGGGGTGCCCAGACCTAACACCCCGGGACACTCAGTGCTCCACCTCAAAGAGGAATGCGAGCAAAACTACAGGCCCACCCGGGGAAGGTAAGCTGACTTTTTAGGTGGAAAACAGCTCACAGGAGTTGAACAGTCACAGCCAGACTGGCCATTTGTCTGTCTGCATGCTGACTAACAGCTTCTGTGTGGGACCCGAGTACAGGCCACCGTCCTGCCACAGCCTGCGCTCCTCCCAGGGCCCCAGGCCGAGGGGTCCGATGCAAGCCTGTGCAATGATCAGACAGGTGGGAGGGAAAGGCCCCAGAACAAACTTTGGGCAGTGGCGGGTGGGGGTGTGTAATATTCCAGTGGAGAGACAGCCAGGACACAAGTCATGGGCACCCAAAACAGCCTCAGCCATGACTATTTTCCTTCAAATAGGAAGAGAATGAATGGATTCAGCCTGCAGAGGCCTAAGACAGCCTAAGTGACAATAGCTGGCCTCTGAGGATGGTCACTCCCCTATCCAATACAGAGTGGTGGGTGGGCCACTATGATAAGGGTGATGCACAGAGCAGAACCACGGGAAGATCCCAGCGTCGGTCATCTCCCAGGTTTGTGCTATAGCCCTTACCAAGTCTTGTCGGAGATGCCGGTACGTGAGTACCTTTGGCTACAGCTGTGCTGTAGGTCTGAGTCACTAAGGGGCAGTCGTGAGAGGCAGAATCTAAGATTTCATTGGTTGTTTCCATGCTGCCATCCAACCTGGTGAAGGTGGAGAGAAATAAAAACAGTGAGGACGTCGGGTGCAAGGACACGACCTCAAGGGCCCAGAGGGCCTGACCTGCAGCAGCAGAGGCAACGGCCACTCGCCAGGACACGCATGAGCATAACACTATGGGGACTGGAATCTGTGCACTCAAACTTTTATGTGGAAAGTCTGATGAAAAAAGCTTATGCTGCCCGGCCGAGTGTGGCTCAGAGGTTGAGCATCGACCTAGGATCCAGGAGATTGCAGTTCGATTCCCGGTCAGGGCACATGCCCAGGTTGCAGGCTCGATCCCCAGTCGGGGGCGTGCAGGAGGCAGCCGATCAATGACTCTCTCATCATTGATGTTTCTCTCTCCCCCTCTCCCTTCCTCTCTTTGAAATCAATTGATATATTTAAAAAAAAACACCATGATGACAAACAGTAAAAGAATGCCTAGTGAGATGATCTTATTTCACTTTTGAGACTGATGATCACAAATAGAATTTGCTATAAAAAATATTCCCCACTTCCACCCCAATCATCAGAGTATTACAGCATTGTTGTTGCAACTTGTGGATAAAAAAAGCCAAAGCAGAAAAGTGAACTGCACTACTTCCCAATAAGCAAATATTAACCCTTTTCAAAGAGAAAATCTCTCTCACAGCAAGATAGCAGGCTCTCAAAAATGTGTCCTAAACTGTAGCTGACAGAGTGTGCTCATCTCTCTCTTGTGAAATGCTCAGTCCATTCGTAACCCATCCCTAGGGGAGCACTTGAACCCCCCCCCCCC